ATAGAAATTAATATTAAATAAGGTTTATTTACCTTAATAATATAATTACTACCTTAATTAAGTAATATATATATTAATTATAAGTTTACCTCTTAATAGCTAAATTAATTTTCTTTTTTTAACTTATTTAAAAGACTATTCCTTAAATAACCTTTATAATATATTATACCTAATTTATTTATTATATTTAAGTATATTACCTAACTTATCCTAGTTTAAACTACTGCTTTTTTACTAATTTTACTTTATCTATTTTTATATATAAGGTTAATTAATTATATACTTTATTATATATATTTAATTAATTAAGTTATAACTTTAAGTTAATTTAACTTTTATTAATAAACTTATATAAAATAAACTTAATATAATTCCTTTAATTTTAACTTTAATAAAATTTCTAAACCCTGTCTTTACCTTATATTTATTTAACTCTTTATTAATTTAAAAGCAGCTCTTTAATAATATTAGCTACCTTTATAAATATATTAAGAAGGTACTTTTTATAAATAGCTAAGTTACTTATAAAGGCAGTAAGGAAAGCTACCTTATTTAATTAAAAAAGATAATCTTTTCTTAAGGCTATTTTTAAATCTTTATAACTTAATAGCTTATTATGAACTTAATTTAAATTAATTAAATTAATATAATATATTTTTTTATATAATTAATTAATTAAATTAAGCTATAATTAAAAATAATTACTTTAATAAGGTTAAATTTACCCCTTAATAAGAAGTTTTTTATAATAATAATAACTATTATATATATTATATAAAGTTCTTTTTTATTAACTGCCTTTAGGGCAGGCCTAATAGCTAGATTAAAATTATAATTAGTTATATAATAAGTATAATTATATAGCTATAGGCTATTTTATAGTATTAAGGCAGTATAGCTATAATACTATTAATAAAAAGGGTTAAAAGGGAAAGTTAGGTTAGATAATATACTTAAATATAATAGATAAATTAGATATAATATTCCTTTAAATAGGTTAAAGGAAGAAGGTTAATCTAGCTGCTAAGATATAACTAGTATTTATATTACTTAGTTAAAGTAGTAATTATATTGTTAAGGCAGATAAATATTATTTAATTCTAACTTTTATAATAATAGCCTATTATAAGGGTCTTATTATTTAAACTATTAATAAAAAAGCTAAAAAGCTTAATAGCCTTATATAAGGCTAAAAATAAAGAAAAAAAAGAAGAAAAAATTACTTAACTTAATTTTCCTTATTAATTATATTTATTAATATTAATTATAATTATTATTATAATACTTATTTATAATAGCTTATAGCCCAATTAGGGCTATTATATAATAAATTATAATCTTATTAATATAATTAAATTAGCCTTAAAGTAAGCTATAAGAAAAGATTATTATATATTATAAAGACCTGTAGCTAGTATTTATACTCCTTAGTTAAGGCAGCAATTGCGTTATTAAGGCAGATAAACCTTATTTAATATTAACTTTTATTACAATGGCCTGCTATAGAGGTCTCTTTATTTATATTACTAATAAAAAAGCTAAAAGTCTAGATAGCCTTTTATAAGGTTAAAAGTAAGGGGTAAAAAATATATATATTATATATAATAATTATAACTATTAAAAAGATCTTTTTTTTAAAAAGAAAATTTAATTTAATTAAAATAATTATCTTTAATTATAACTTAATTAATTTAACTAATTATATAAATTTAAAGTACTTAAGAAATATAATATTTCTAGCTTAAATTAATTAAAAGATATTTAAATTAATAAATTTAAAAAAAGCCTTTAGGTATAACTAGCCTTTAATAGTAAAAGATATAGCTTTCCTTATTACCTTTATAAGTAACTTAGCCTAGTATAAAGAGTAGCTTATTAAAATAATTATAAAAGCAAAATAAGTATTTTATATTCTCTTTAATATATATAAATAAAAGGTTTTAAGATAAATATAAAGTAAAGGTAGGGTTTTTATATTAAAAGAATTATATTAAGTTTTATATAAGTTAATTAATAAAAGTTAAATTAACCTTAATTAATTAATTTTATATAATATAATATATAATTAATTAACCTTATATATAAAAATAAATAAAGTAAAATAAATAAAAAAGCAGTTATTTAAATAATATTTATATAAGTATTTTAAATAATAAAATAAAATTTAATTATATATTAAAACTTTACCCTAGTTTAGACTATTACTTTTTTATTAATTTTATTTTATTTATTTTTATATATAAGGTTAATTAGTTATATACCTTATTATATATATTTAATTAATTAAGTTATAACTTTAAGTTAATTTATCCTTTATTAACTTACTTAATTAAAGTAAACTTAATATAATTCTTTTAATTTTAATTTTAATAGAATTTCTAAACCCTACTTTTACCTTATATTTATCTTAAAACTTTATATATAAACTCCTTTTATTAATTTAAAAGTAGCTTTTTAATAATATTAATTACTTTTATAAATATATTAAGAAATTACTTTTTATATATAATTAAGTTATTTATAAAAGTAATAAAAGAATTTATTTTATTTAATTAAAAATAATAACTTTCTTTTAAAGCTATTTTTAAAACTTTAAGATTTAATAGCTTATTATTAATTTAATTTAATTTAATTAAATTAATATAAATTTTCTTTTTATATAATTAATTAATTAAATTAAACTATAATTAAAATAGCTATTTTAATAAGGTTAAATTTTCCTTTTTATAAGAATTATTTTATAATAATATTAATTATTATAAATATTATATAAGTTCTTTTTTATTAATTACCTTTAAGATAGGCCTAATAGCTAGATTAAGATTATAATTAATTATATAATAAGTATTAAGGTAATATAATTATTACATTATTAATAAGAAAGGTTAAAAAGGAAAGTTTAATTAAATAATATACTTTAAAAGTATAATAAATAAATTAAATATAATATTCCTTTAAATAAGTTAAAGAAAAAAGGTTAATTTAATTATTAAGATATAATTAATATTAATAATATTTAATTAAAGTAATAATTATATTATTAAAATAAATAAATCTTATTTAATTTTAACTTTTATAATAATAATTTATTATAAGGATTTTATTATTTAAATTATTAATAAAAAAGCTAAAAAGCTTAATAGCCTTATATAAGGCTAAAAGTAAAAAAGGGAAAAAAAACCTTTTAATTTTATTTTTTATATTATTAAATTAATATTTAATTATTAAAATATATTAAAAATAAATATTATTTTATATATAATTATAATATTTTATTTTTATAATAATTAAAAATAAATTAAATTAAAAATTTTAATTATTATAAAATACTAATTTTTTATTATTATTTATCTTTAAAAAACTTAGTTATTTTCCTTAAACCTTCCTCTTTAGGCTTCTTTTTATTCTGCCTTTTATTTTGCATTGCGCTAAGTTGACCCTGCTTTTGCCGCTTCTGATTGCTTTGGGGAATAAGACTCTCTTTGGCTTTACGTTTTACAGCTGTCGATTCTTTAATAACCAGTGGCCTATTTTTTTGAACAGTCTCACTTTGCATCGCGTGTTCCTCCTTCAAACCTTGAGTTCCTTCATCTACCGCTAGCTGTAATGACTCCTGATTCCCTTGTCGTTCATTGTTGAAGAAGTTCTTTATGTTTGACTTGTTCGCTTTGCTGTCTAATGGAACAATAAAGGTGGGTGAGTTGTTGCCAACTTTGCCGACATCTTGAGAAACCCGATAAATATCCAGGTCTCCTTCGAACGGCTTCAGAAGTCCTTGCAGCTCGTCGGACCACTGGTTTCGAGATGGGTCAAGCCATGTCGCAATACTCGATGAGTTGGGATTAAGTATTACGGGCATGCGATCGTGAAGAAACTTGAGCTCCGAGTTGGTGCTGGTGGTGATGATTGTGTACGAGTATAGTGTTTCTCCTGACCCTGTCGAATGTCAGTCCTGCTTTAGCGACATCTTGCAAGGTATTCATTACCTTCAAACTGCACGCGGTCCCAAAGGCCGGCAAAGCACATCAAATGTCCGTCCTTCCGTTTCACATAGTAAGGTAACCTCTCCTTTCCGTTTTTTAGCCACTCATAAAATCCTTGAGCAATCACGATACATCTTTTGCGCGTCTTCATGCTGGCCCACATCCCTCCAGGTGAGCTGAGTGAGTCATCACGACAGTTGATGGTCTTCAACATGGAACCGTAGTCAGGGTTCCTTTTTGTCCACGAAGGGACGAGGCCCCATTTCATTGACTGTAATTTGTAACTGATAGAGTTCTTTGGGTGCTCAGGATCCTGAGTGACGTCGTTCTGGTCCCCACGTCGTTGATCTTCCTGTGTACCGTTTTGACCTGGTATGCTGGCGCGATAAACGACGCCGTTATATCCCGGGGCAAAGTTATAGCTGCTTCGAGGGGCGCCATCTCCGGCATCTTCTGATGCATTATCAATCTCTAGTCCATCTTCCTCGAGCATCTGACGGATCTGCGACGGCCGCTGTAAGTCGTATTTAGCAAACCACCAATAAGATATATATCACCGCATACTCACCAGGGCCAGTGCATATCTTCCACACATGTTGTACGTTTTCTTTTTAGAGTGGCGTTGTTGTTGATATGTGCCACACTCTCATGTGGCATTCACGGTGCCATGTATTATTGAGATCACGTGGATCAAAGTATGACGAAATGTTATTTGTTTGGACCTGCTGCATCAGTGGCCGCATTTAGGCCAGGAAACATCTATGACCTCAAAAAAGTATTAGAGAGATTACCACTGATTCCCGAATGTTTATTCATATCATAAATGACATTCATAATATAATAATACCCTCTACCCAAGCACTAAAATCACAATTCTTATGGTATCGCTATATCGGCGTGCATCCGTCACACCACGCATCGTAATCCAGTACAATAGACATAGTCTTGTTCTCAGACCTTTCGGCGAGCCTTGCGCTTAAGTGCTGTCTCTTCCGCCCACGCATCCTCGAAGAGCGTTGGTTTCTGCTTGATATCTCCCTCCCGGATACCCAAGCGGCGAACAACTTGGAAAGCACCAGTACCGACCGACATTGTTTGTCCCATGATGATGCACTCACTGACACCCTCAATTTGATCGGTCTTCATGCCAGCTGCAGCTTCAAAGAGATGATCCGGGGTCTTCTCAAATGAAGCCAACTGCAGAACGCTATCGCGCATCTTGGACAACCCGAAACGAGTAATACCGAGCACTTCACCTTTGTAGGTCATAACGTCGGCAAGAAGTTGCATGTGTCGCGGATCAATGCCCATATCGCCCATCACCTCACCAATCTCGTCAGCAATAGTAGTTCTAGCTGCTTCAATACCAAGTACATCCCGACACTCCATGACATTGTTGGTACGGGCTTTTGTGCCAATAACACCCTCGGTAGTCATACATTCTCGGAGACCGTAGCCTTCAACAAGCACAGTATGAGTGCTTTGTTCCGATGTTTGAATGATCGCACGCGTGGCTTCAGGGTAGCCGGATATGGGCACATTGGGGAGCGACCGGCGTAAGAAGTTGGCTCTCAATAGCATGTCTCCAGTCTCAGCGGCAGCGGCTTTGCTGCGAGCCGTAGTCCTCTTTGTCGCCGGATCGGTGGCATCTCGCACGCGAACAATAATCCGCTCTCCATCGATCGATAGATCATCTCTTTGCACCTTGAGTTTGCGCTGCTTGCAAATAGCCTCAGCAATATCATAAGGGCCAATGCCAAGGTGCATATCTGAAAGAGCGGCGGAGTCGATCTGCAGCACAACGTTGCCTTCTGTCGTGCGCCATTCATCTTCAACGAACCGAAGGACATCCGAGATATAGGTTTTCTCAATTCGTCCCTTCACAACCCGAGCTGCTTCGATTTGCTCGTTGTTCTCGAGAGGACATGTGATGACAGGTGTGCTGATGGCCTTTGATGCGTTGATGATTTCCTTGATTCGGGGAACACCTTGCGTGATACTCATACCGGCGACACCGGCAAAATGGAAAGTTTTGAGTGTCATTTGGGTACCTGGCTCACCAATTGAATGTGCTCCGACAGCTCCGACGGCGTGTCCAGGTTCAACATGCGCCTTCTTGTACTTCTCCAGGCACATCTTGATGAAGAGTCGAAGAGTCGACAGCGTCACCTTGGCAGTTCGATCTGCGTGGTCTTGTGCAGTTGACCTCACCATGGCACCACCATTGAATCCAGCCAGCTTTCGTACAGTCTCCAATTTTGATGCCAGCCCTTCGACATGCCGTTCAATAGCCTTGAGGAATCCTCGGGCACCCTCGTGCTCATCAATACCATAATCACTCGTATCCCCGTAATCCAAAATCTCATTATGCAGTAAACCGCGCCTGACATAACGCCGCCGTTCAGTTTCCAGCACTCTATCGCAAAAGGATCGAATCTCCTCTGGCGTCATAGAGGTCTCGCTGTTATCCACTGTCAAACTCTCGGCATGAGTCCATGTCCGTTGGAAATGAACTGGCTCTGCCGAGCCTTCCATGTCCACAGGATCGAGCTTGTCTGCACCAAACTGGAACTGAACAATGCCGCCTCCAGACGTCCGTACAGTATCGTCGTATTGAGTAGACAAATCTTCGAGCGATTTCATGAGTCGTCGAGACATGTAACCAGTCTCGGCGGTCTTGACGGCCGTATCGACTAAACCCTCACGGCCTGACATGGCGTGGAAGATGAATTCGGTAGGGAACAAGCCCGTGTAAAAGCTGTTCTTGACGAATCCTTTCGATGGGGGCTGTCGAGCGTTCTTGTGGAAATGTGGAAGCGTTCGATCCTGGAATCCATCCGCAACACGTGAGCCACCGATAATCTGCTGCCCAACAAGAGCAACCATCTGCGCCACATTGATATCTGAACCCTTCGACCCGGACTTGGCCATGATAAGGGGGGCGTTGTTACGGCTTAATGTGTCGACACAGTAAGAACCTGCCTGTTGTCGAACTTTGCTGAGAATGCCGGACATGGAGTTTTCGAGTGTCTGCTCCTGATTACAGCCAGCAGCTTTCTCAAGTTTTCCTGCCTTGAATGTTTCAATCAGATCATCGCACTGCTTATAGGCGACAGCAACAAGTTTCTCCTTCTCTTTGTTTAGTGATTCTGTCGGGAAAACATCTCCTACACCAATCGAGAATCCTCGATTTGTCAGTTGCCGCGCGCATAGTTTAGCCAGCCTGTTCATGGCAATGACAGCTTCGTCTGGGCCAAAGTCACGGAGGATCACATAAAAAATTGAATCTTTCTTGCCTGTTCCGACAGTAGACTTGTCCATACGGCCACACATTACTTCCGAGTTGCGGACAACAAGCCAGCCGTCATTGGGGTCCATATCGGGGCATTGGCCAGGTCGCGCTTTGTAAGCTCTGCATTTTGCGTCAAGATTGACCTTGACGGGCGAGTCCTTGTTGGGTCGCATCAGCATACTGAAGAGTTGTTTGCCAGTCCAGAGTGATTGAGGTGCAATAATGGCTGGAGGTGGCATGTCCAGGTGTGTCTTCCCATCCATCATGTGCATGCAAAGGTAGGTAAAGGTTTTGCGGTCAAAAAACCGATCTTTGCTGCTCAGCAGGAAAGCTGCTGTGATGAAATCTTGCGTGGCAGCGATGACAGGTTCGCCATTCTTTGGTGTGGCCAGGTTGTGCTTGATGCCCATCAGATTGATGGCCTCGGCACGAGCCTCTTCCGTCTGTGGCACATGAAGGTTCATCTCATCGCCGTCGAAGTCGGCATTGTAGGGTCCACAAACACATTCATTCAACCTAAAGGTTCTCCAGGGACGAACTTTGGCGAGATGGCTCATGATACTAAGCTTATGCAGGGAAGGCTGGCGATTAAAGAGAACAATATCGTTATCCTCAAGATGCCGCTCAACGATATCACCAAACTTGAGGTCTCGAGCTATGTACTCTCTGTTACCAAATTTGAGAGATTGTAGATAGCCACCTTCATCCGACTTGATGACACGCTGAGCTCCTGGCCAAACGTCTGGTCCATTTTTGACACATTGGCGAAGCTTCTCGAGGTTATGTCGCTGAACCCTTTCTGGGTAAGTCAGGTTCTTCGCAACCAGTTGTGGCACAGCGACTTGATCAATACCAAGGTTAGGGTCGGGGGAGATGACAGTTCTTCCTGAAAAATCAACACGCTTTCCGGAAAGGTTGCCACGGAAGCGACCCTGTTTGCCTTTCAGACGCTGGCAGAAACCTCTTGTGGCTTTACCAAACCCGGGCTGTTGGAGGCCAGGAACGTCGCTGTTGACATACATGGCGATCTGAGTTTGTAGATACTCCCACTGTTCCATGATGGTTTGGACTGGAGAGCCTTTCTGCAGAGCAGACCGAATCATGCCACTGACCCACACGATGTCAGCTAGTTTGGTAGTAATGTCGTCCTCATTGCTCGCATTGTCTTGAGCGACGGATGGTCTGATACAGACAGGAGGGGCTGGTAGGAATTGCCAGATAAACATCTCTGGTCGTCCCTCTGCAGGATCCAGACCTAGAAGCTCGCAGTCGGTGGGACTGATCATCTTGAAGAGATTTAGAACTCTGAGGGGGTTGAGATCTTCCATGGCCTTCCTAAGGTGCTTGTCCAGCTCTGGGTTCTCGCGTTTTGCCTCGTTGAAGGAGTTGTCAAATTTGATCTTGCTCTCTGGGGGCACCTTTTTCGCAGCAGTTGACTTGTTGTAAGCAACAAACTTGTCGTGAGCAAGTTTGAGAACACCGATCTTTCGAATTTGGCCATTCAAGGAGCCACAGTAAGGGCATGTCTTGATCTTCCGGCACTGCTCATTGATCTTTTTGCATATCTGGGTTCGTCGCAAGTTATCCAAAAACGGTCGTCTCAGTTCCTTGAGAAACTGTTGTCGTTCGGGTTCTTCGAGCAATACTCGGCCGCAGTCCTAGAAAATCATTAGCCCTCTGCAAAACAATCATGCATGCTAAAATGGTTGGTTTACCTTGCAAATCTCCTGGAGAATTGACATAATGAAGCGAAGATAGCCTACATGGAAGGCGGGTAAAGGAAGACGGACATGGCCAAAATGACCATTGCAATCTTTGAGAGATTCCTGACAAGTCGAACATCTTCCTTGTTTACTCGATGTGCCCTGAAATAGAATAAGTTTTGAACTGTAATATTGTCAAGTCGTTAACCGCATCACGTACCAGTCGAGAGTCCAGAGGGCCGTGGCGATATGGAGCGCGATTGTTCTCAATGTCATATAGCAAACGGTCGGAAACCTCAAGAACGGCTTGGTTGGCGATATCTTGATTGGATCTAACGAAGGGTGTAAAGTCAGCTTGGAGGTCCAAGGTAAAAGTGGTGACCATGCCATCACACGAAGTCAAACTCACTGGATACCAAACTTGATGCCCTTGAACCGCTTTGGCAGCTTATCCACAAGCTGCTGCTTGACGGGACTATCAACGGATGCAGCGATCGCCATTATTAGGAGGAGCAGTGTTTATTCCTGGTTGTCGTGAGGGCGAAGGTTGGATCGTTGCGAAAAGCTGCGAGCTTGCTCAGGCGCTGGAAGCGTCGGCAGGAATGGGGTGCCGATCGCAGGTCTGAGGGGTACGCAATACGCAGTGATCGTGGGTTTGGATCACGACAAGCTTGGGCTAAAAGCTTCTTGCAGTGTTGCGCGTTCGTATTCGATGTACATGACCAAAGAGGTTGAAGGTTGCAGCGCAGAACGCAATGTCGAAAGTCGAGAGGCGTGGGTTCCGTCGCAAAATTTACATCGCCTGCGAAGAGGGACCCGTTCTTAGTGTCGTACCCCACCATACTGTCGACACGCGGGGTGCCAACCACTCAAGCATCTATCTAGGTACCTCAGGTTAGAAGGGCCTGTTAGAGGTAAGAGTCATAGAATGAATCATTCGGTGGAGGATACTTCGTACATGTCAAATGAATTGGCGCGAGGACTTATCGTCCAGTGACCAAAACTTTATCATCTTCAGGCGGATAGGGTGAGTATCGATAGCTCAGTGTTTTATGGTTCCCGTCTTTTTGCTTTTATCTTTAGCGCACTGCTTGTCTTGTATAACCACCTCTAGTTAATTATATGAATCTACTAAGGACCCTATCGGAACCAAATCGCTAGGTGCCTCGAGAATTTGGTTCACGAGGTTGACATTCCGCGTTATACGACTCTAAGATGTCTATTTCCGGGTCTCTAAATTGTATCATCCTTCAAGCCCTTCCTGTCTTCTAGTTCACTCGTTCTTTGATGGAGGCTCGGTCTCGTTCTTCTTCACACTCGACCTGTTCGACAGCAGCTGCGAGAGCACAAAATGGTTTACGTCTTCATCAGCCCAGTATGCCATGTGAGATGCAATGGTATTGATTGGATTGAAATCCAGGACGCTCCTGTGTTCAACGTTAGCCTTTGTTTGCTTTTCGCATTACTATGTCAAGCGAAGTACTTACTCTTGAATGCTGTAGTCAACTCGGCCGTTACGGTTGAGTGCTCGAACTTTAGCTTCCTCATTGCGCATCTTGCGCGCCTTCTTATCATCGTCTGCTGTTGCTGTTCCTGTCGTTTCCTGGTCCTTATTTGGCCCAGCACGAGTCTTCTGGAAATTGGAATACAAGGTTTCAATTTCTTCGTCTATCAGTGTCGGGTTACGCTCACCAGCTCCTGAGTCGGGCACAGACGCAGAGTCCGCAAGCTTCTTCATGCGTGCGTCTGTGGCTTCCCGTTTCTCGGCAGCATTTGGCACGTCTCGGTTTGTTGTCTTAGTTCCTGGTTCGGAGCCTGTGCCTTCGGCGCTGGCGGTAATCCGTGCAACTTCTTCATTACTCAAACCAAGGGACCGATTGAGTAGGTTGCTGGCAATTCCAGCACTCAGGCTTGACCACAGTCCGCTAACGCTCTGTCCGACCTTTGCTCCGATTCCCGTCAATCCCTGTGGGGCAACATTGCCGAATATTCCTCTCTTTGTATACGGTAACAGTTGGGGCTTGAGTGTAGACATGGTCGGAGATATCAACGGCTCTAGGCGGTAACTAATCGGATCAGATGGGTGGAAGATGTTAAAGAGCTGCTGAACCTTCGGTGATGAGACAGTTATAGGAAGACCAGTCAAGGAGGATATCTGCTCGACTCCTGAAGCAAGTGGTGCGGTTCGAAAACCATCCCCTTGTGTACGTCCCCCGTGAACATCGCTGATGTCGGATGATGCATTGCGATGTCTGGCCGCTATTGTTCTGAAATCATGTTAGCGTTGGACCTTTCTCTGGAGTACATTGAGACGCACTGTCCCTTGAGCATCTGAAAGAGGCCGATTGGAGAGCCCAGGCAAAAGAAATCCTCAACTTTAAACTCAAGGTTGAGCTCGGGGTCCTTGTTGGGTGTTTCTGAAATATCTTGAGCTGGCCACAACCGCAGAACGGACTTTGGCTCAGTGGACTGATCCCGTTTTTGCTGGCAAAGTAGGTCAAAAAGAATCGCGGAACCCAGAGAGTGACCCATCAAGTGAATCCTTCCTTTGAAATCAGGATTTCTTTCTTTGAATAGTTTGAAGATTCTGTTACACTCATTGAGCACGATCCTCGAGATTTGAGTCCTATACGAGCTTTGATATAACAAAACATCTAAGGCAAGGTCCGAGATCAGGGAGCGTGCAAAAGCCACCCCTTCGATGGTAATGTCGTCCAAGGATGGATCTTCAACGTCAGCCAAGTCAGCAACCTCGCGGCTAGCAAGGGCGTAATATGCGTATACTCACATTCATCTTCATCGTCGTCCACATCTCCCAGATCACGCTCTCCCTTCTTCTCACGCTTCTTAGGAAAGTCCAGCAGGTGTCTCCAGCACACGGGAAGAACTTGTACCCTGCAGTTACCGGGTCCAGCCCCAAGTTCCGAGTTCAATGCTTTCAGATCTGCTGAGTTGGCGTACACTGACTTAATTGTCTTGCGGAGGACGTTAACGTCATGAACAAAATTGACACTCTCCATTCTAATAATGCCGATTAGCTGAGGATAATCACAAGGCGTTTTATCTAGGACATACCGTAAACTAAGGAGCTGACCTATACCGTGTGTGACAAGCACCAGATGCTCGATTTCACGGCCTTGGGTCTCGCCGGCCTGCGCATTGTAATCGTCTTGTATCTCTTGTTCTTCGCGTCGCCGTATGTCTTCTTCCTTTTCGGCCTTTGTCTTTCCTTCACCCTCGAGAAGGGAAGAAAGTTGACGTTGAAGTGTTGCGCGTCGAGGGTCTCGGGTCGAATTACTGTCGTTGCCATCCTGAACAAGGTCTTCATGTGAAGCACGGGTAGAGGGCGGAGCTGATCTTCGCTTCAGAATCTTTTGTTGCTTTTCGTCCAGCGAAACACCCGAATCGACTGCGTTGGGTTGTTTCTCTTCACCCCTGTCCTTTTCAGCGTCTTTTTCTTTATTCTTGCTAGGTTCCAAATAGCCGCGGACCAGTCTCACTCCGCTCATATAGCTCCCACCAGCGAACCTTTGGTACATGGAAGAAGTCACCCAAGAGAGCATGCCATCAGTGTTTAGATAGGCGGTGTTTGCATCGTGGTATGTTGCCAAACTGTTCATGTATGTTCCAAATAATCGGTATGACTGGGGTTGGAGTTGGCCACGAGAAGACGGTTCTGTTGCAGAAACATCAGCAACTGGCATTTGGCCGGTATGCTCAACTCCCCCCTTAGCTATCGAACGCAAGTTCTCTTGCGACGCTTTCGGTGTAAGATTCCTTCTAGCTCCTGATGGACTACGATCCCTTGCTGTACAGTGGTTTAGTTAAAAGGTGCACATGGGAGCTTCGTTTGCCTTACTGGGATATAGCCATGGCTTCATTTTGAGGTAGCCCTGTTTAAGTAGTTAGATCAAGCACGGCAATTGTGGCACTTATTATTGATTATACCTCCTCCAACTGAGCGGCTAGATTCTCCTCGCAAGGGCGCAAGTTAGAGCCTTCATGGTAGAACCATGTCCCTCTGCGTACTATCATCAATCAGCGAAGATTCAGACTAAGGACTTTACCGTCACATACCATCATAAACTGGACCAAGCCAATATACGGGAGCCAATTCCCGGCATTCAATGTCAACATCGAATAAGAAGTCCTCGTTCACAGGAACACGAACGCCAGCTGACTGCGAGTCGGACAACCCGCTATCCTGGTTTGTAAGTCCGGCTGTGGTATCGTCTGTAACGTCTGCTTTGCGCTTCCTCGGGGCCAGCTGCACATCTGCAGGTGCTCGAGTCCTGGCATCCTCTAGTTCTTCGAGCAGCTTCTGATACTCGGCTTCTAAAGCCTTTGAATCTGAAGAAGAAAAGGGGTTATACTTCTTTGGTAGTGTCGAAGGCTTTTCAGGCTGTGGGGATTTGCTGAGGCGAGGTTTCCGCTTGGGAACATCAACGGCATGGAACCACTGAACCTTCAAAGGGGGGCATCCTGAGGGATACGTCCGAAAACTCTGGCCATAGAGATGAGTTGTGGTGTGATCATCAGGGTTCGCCGAAGCCGTAACCTTCGAATTTTCCTCCTCTGCCTTGGCTTTTTGAGTCGGAGTTGTGCTGCGACTAGCAGCCCAAGGATTGAAAGAATCAACAGCGGAGCTCAGATATGACCTCTCGACCTTCTTCTCGGCTGCCCCTGGTGCCATATTTACACTGGATGATCGTGACCATATACGCCGTCCAAATGTTGACGTTACAAGCCGTTGTAACAATAAGGATCTGGGAAGCTTGCGGGTTGAGATGAATGATGGAGCCAGTGCGACAAGTAGCTCACCGATATGCGACAGAATCAAAATATCTCCTAATTGATGCTCTAGCTCTCAAGACGTCATTAACTGAGCCAGATAATTTCAGATTGCAAGATACGTAAAAATGAATCTGATTTCTTGGTGAATTTGATAGGAATTGTCACAGTGACTCCAAAGCTAGATAGGGTAGATATGGATTATGTTCCACACGTTCCATGTGAAAGCCAGATGACGTTCCAGCTGTGGATACGAAGTGCATGCTCCTGCGTTGAACTAACTGCTTTGGGTATCTGCATAACCGCCATTTTAAGCGTATGAACTTTCCAAAGTCTTTAAAAGCCTAATTTACCTATTCTAAGAATTCCACTTCGTACCATACACAGCATAGAAGGTCCTTAGGTAATGTCTACCCAATACCATTTTCTTCGAAGGCCATAAAGACTGCAAACTCTAGGTATCTCAGGAAGTCCTATGTACCAGTCTGTACCTGAATAAGGTACTGGGGCTGCTCAGCTCTATAGCGATAATAAACCTGTTTGAAGAATATGCCCCCATTGTCCCTGCTGCTGTTGGGCAAGGTCTGCAGCTGTCCTACCTTGGTTGTCTCGCAATCCACGAATATCCCTTTCTCTGTTCACTGACAGGCGACCAACCCCTGTAGCCTCAGCCACGGAGCGAGCATACTCTGGGAAAGCAGAATCCGGGATCGTCGAACAAAGCCAAAGCAAAAGCCAAAGTGATTCCTCCTGTGAGTTTTCTATTGCAAGGTGTAACCCGTTCTTCATGTCTCCCAGGGGATCCTGGTAGGTTACGAAGGCTGTGAGATCTTCAATACTGTCACTGGCATCTCGGAGAAGTTCAACAACGCCGCCAACATCACCCTCCGCGCACATGACATGGAGCGCGCGAGCTGGGCGTGCCTCGGGATTACTCTCGAGATATGCTTCTTCGGTGATGGATGGAAGAATATCCAGGTTTTCCTGGATGCCGCCTTCGTTCGTATATCTTGTAAGAATGGCGGTTCCTGGGGGTGTCGAGAGGAAAGTGTTTGTCACTGAAGGCCCTCCTTCGTTGACCGGAAGGTATGCAGTGCAGCTGGGGCACTTGAGAGACAGGGCTACATCTGAGGACTGGTCAAGCAAGCATTGCCTATTACCACTTAGTTAAGCTATTATCTTAAAGAGAAAGGTGTATAGCAACGAGGCAGAGAATCTCGAGGAAGACTTACCAGTGAAAATGACAACCACAGGGGAGCTCAAGATCATCGGGTACTGATGAATCTGAAGTGCTGGGGCCAGCGCCAGCCTCATCATCTACATCCTCTTCTGGATCAAGACGCAACACCAACGTCTCTTCGCAAACTTTGCAGAGAGACATCTCTATACAGAGACAACTAGTTTCAAGGCTGTATCTGACTGTAGGCTGGCAGGGGCTGAAAATCAAATGTGGCACAGTAAGGCGTGAATGAGTATTTCTATAAGTCCCAAGACGATGACTTTTTACAGTACTTTTTTTCAGTTTGTCTCCACCGTTTGGCATGTCCTCGCTAGCTGGAGTAGACATTTCATCGGCGTGACGCAACCAAGTGGGGCTTTGCTGAGAAGAAACGCCCAACTTGTGGCTGGACTCTCGACCTGCAACAGTGACAGCTCTCTTACCAAATACTGGTAGTCTATGGCTGCCGACACGTAGAACACGGCTGTCAGGTACGAGTAGATGAACTTATACCGATCATTATCACTATGATGGTGACAGAGGCGCGCGCTTCATAAAACAACCGCTTTAGTCGGTCAGGCAGCGAATCCCAACAGGCATTTAACTACTAGCCTACGCACGGTAGATATAGCATCCATCTATGATAGTGGAGGATACCTGGGCAAGCAGGCAACGACTGATTCCCCATCCCTTGTGTTGTGTGCCTAGGCCTTGTGTCGTAAGTGATTGCGAATACCAACAAAAGGTCTTACTAAATACCTCTATATGATGGTGGACTAAGCTGGAATAATAGAAATTGCAGCGCTGCACTGCCATCTCGAATGGTGTACATTACATCACCGCTTAGCAGGCCACTATGGGAGACTCTTGGCAGGGAAGCTCCCCGCAGTGACGTGGCCTAAAAGTACTTCAGTGTATGGGCATAAGTAGAGTTGTCACAGAAGTCCCACCAATAAGTACATGAATCGCTGTCTGATGATACTTGATCGATATCATCTACCAAGTACCTCCTTCATTTAGACTGGGATCTCCCCCACTCACTCAACCTACGCCGCCTGAAGACGGTCCCTCTCCTTTCAGGCGCCCAAATCTCGCATCATCTTCCTCCTCAACCCATAAGAGAGCCCACGAATACCTTCCCGCGCTCAAGAACTCCCGAGTCTCTCTGGTTGTTTTGGATTCTCAAAGGATTGCGATACCTTCGCTTTTCTCAGTACTGTCCAACTGCATAGGTGCCCTCCCGGAGCACCCCGCCCTCCCCCACCATGAACGTTTTGAAACTTCAGAGGTCGGTCGCACCGGAACTCGCGGGCTTCATTGCGAGGCTGACTATGTCATAATAGGAAGTTTCCTCAATTTCAACAGAACGAAATCTTCAGCTTGTCCGATGCCTTTCAGCGGCTTGATGTCGACGATAGGGGATACCTTGACGAAGCTACCGCCATCAAGGCCACCCAACAGAGCGAAAACCAGCCCTATGATGTTGTGCGCCAGGCGTTAAAGGAGGTCGAGCTTGACTCTTCGCGACGTGTTGAGCTTGAGGACTATGTTAGCGTACGTTTTGAATGCTCGAATTAGCCCTTATACATGTACTAACCCATACGGCGCCAGCTCGTTGCCAAGCTTCGCGATTCGTCGCCCGCTCAGAAGCGCATGTCCACAGGACCAACTCCCCCCTCTGCAGGTGGCGGTGTCGTCGCGCAACGTACTGGAGGCCATGCTTCCAAGGGCAGCGTGAGCGGAAAGATTCAGGTCCAGGGCTCCAATGCCAACATCACTCACACCATTAACGAGGATGAACGCACCGAATTCACCCGTCACATCAATGCCGTCCTGGCTGGCGATGCTGATATTGACAGTCGTCTCCCTTTCCCCACCGACACTTTCGAGATGTTCGACGAGTGCAAGGATGGCTTGGTTCTAGCCAAGCTCATCAACGACAGCGTTCCCGATACCATTGATGAGCGTGTCCTTAACATACCCGGCAGGAAGATCAAGAACCTCAATGCTTTCCACATGAGTGAGAATAACAACATTGTTATTGAGTCTGCCAAAGGTATTGGCTGCTCTGTTGTTAACATCGGTGCTGGTGATATTATTGAGGTTCGAGAACATCTTATTTTGGGTCTCATCTGGCAGATCATTCGACGAGGATTGCTGGGAAAGATTGATATCAAGCTGCATCCTGAGCTGTATAGGCTGCTTGAGGAGGACGAGACACTTGAGCAGTTCCTCCGCTTGCCTCCCGAGCAAATTCTCCTTCGATGGTTTAATTACCATCTGAAAGCTGCTAACTGGCCCCGCACGTAAGTTGATTGACATAGCTTGTCTTTTGTGGAATTAACCAGTCTTAGCGTCAAGAATTTCTCCTCTGATGTTAAGGATGGCGAAAATTATTCGGTTCTGCTGGCGCAAATTGGTCCCGAGTATGGCGTAACCCGTGCGCCTTTACAGAAGCAAGATCTACATGAACGAGCTGAGGCTGTTTTACAAGAAGCAGACAAGCTCGGATGCCGCAAATTCTTGACACCAAAGTCACTCGTCGCCGGCAACCCCAAGCTTAACCTAGCATTCGTCGCCAATCTCTTCAACAATCACCCCGCCCTTGACCCCATCACTGAAGAAGAGAAACTCGAGGTCGAAGATTTCGATGCGGAGGGAGAACGCGAGGCTCGAGTCTTTACACTGTGGCTGAACAGTCTGGACGTTCAGCCTGCAGTTGTCTCGTTCTTTGATGATCTTAGGGATGGCAGCATCCTCCTTCAGGCTTATGAGAAGGTCATTCCGGGCTCTGTCAACCCCCGCCACGTCAACAAGAGACCAGCGCATGGAGGGGAGATGTCGAGATTCAAGGCCGTCGAGAACACTAATTACGCGATTGAGCTTGGCAAGCAAAATGGGTTCTCGCTAGTTGGCATTCAAGGCGCTGACATCACTGATGGACAAAGGACCTTGACTCTTGGTCTCGTGTGGCAACTCATGCGCAAGGACATCACTGTCACTCTATCTTCACTAGCTCAGAAGCTGGGCAAGCGAGAGATCACCGACTCTGAAATGGTGCGATGGGCAAACGATATGTCACGAAAGGGTGGCAGGAACTCTTCCATTCGCTCTTTCAAGGATCCTTCAATTGGATCTGGCATTTTCCTTCTGGATGTCCTGAATGGAATGAAGAGCAGCTATGTTGATTACGATCTTGTTACATCTGGACAGACTGACGAGGATGCTTACTTGAACGCCAAGTTGAGTATCAGCATTGCTCGAAAGCTCGGCGCAACCATTTGGCTGGTTCCCGAAGATATCTGCCAAGTCCGCAGCCGCCTCATTACCACCTTCATTGGTAAGTTCTACTGTAAAAGAGCTCTCAAGTACAATATGCTAACACGACTACTAGGTTCTCTTATGGCTACCCACGAAAGAATGTAGATCTAGTTTGGGACTTCTTTGGCGATGGCGCGATTGGGGGACGTGGTTATTCGCATGCAGGAATATTCGTTATTTTATAAAAGCTTTGGTTCCAACGGCCGTCATATTGCCAACACAGTGCCACTCGTCTGCTCAGCCAATGTGATCATGCTGTGTATTATCGCCAGTCCAGGTTGTGAGGATGTTCTTCGAGAATACAAATCAATGTGATCTGGCTAATCATCACTGGTTGAAGTACGTTCAGAGGATCAAATACAAGCTACATAACAGACTTGGTCCTGTAAAAATACCCAACCAAAAGATCAAATTACCCAGTGTCTTGCGCCCACGCAACCACTTGGTGCGGCTCAGCCTGACTAACTATAAACCAGTAAGTAGTCAATTCAAGGTTCGGGTTACAAAAACTCACTGGTAGTTGGCACATTTGGAGGAACAGGAGATAGCCTCTCAGCTTCTTAAATAGACACCACATGACCAGCTCGTGGACACAGGCTGAAAGAAAGAAAGTTATAAGTGTGGCTGTGTGCTTGTTGACCTTCAAAGATGATATAGAGCTATGATAGACGTGGCGGAGAAGAAAGACGTGAACAGGTCGGTTCCAGTCCCGGGCGAACTGATCCCACGAAACTAGTGAGCAGATATTAGTTCTACACCTACATTACCGAGAATATATTGGACTTACCGCTGTTCCACCACGCATCATAAAAGCTTCGATCGGCAAAATATGTCAACTCAGCGAGGATGTTCAGGATAGTTTCCCATATGAGATACCAGACAAGCTACGGGGGTTAGGACCAATAGTAGATAGCGAGGTTTTCTGTAGGCTCACCAAGTATTCCATCATGAAAGGGAAGATAAGGTCGAGAAGGAACCCTGGGAACTCCTGGAATCTCCCAGCCAGTGGTACGCCATTCTCCTTCATCTCGATCGTCTTCATGACGACAGGATCTATGAGCTTCCGTTAGCATAACGAATGGCAGTTTCTGGAGGAACGTAACCCACATATAGAGTGCTGCGAGACCTGAACCATCACGAATAGAACACCAAACATTGCGGCAAACTTCTCCAATACGTACGACCAGTCGATAGAATCGGATCGCGGGTATTCTATTTCATAAACAAGAGTTGGTAGAGGGATCCATTTGTAGTGATCGATGAAAGACAGGTTGTTGGGATAAGCTTTGCCTATAGTAGCGGCTGTTCCTTTGAGTTCGTCGGTCATTGCATCCACCTCCCACTTCATGATGCGCTCGAAGAGAGCAACTTGCTCGTCGTCCAAAGGCTGATGAGAAGCAATGGCTCGTGAAATCTTGTCTATGTCGCTTTCGTCCTGGCCGGGCTGCGCTGAGATGGACTTTCGGCGCTCTTCGGCGGAGGGAGCAACACTAAGATGTTGTGTCGAGATGGCTGACGCCGGGGGCTCAGTCTGTGATGGGGTCATGGCTGGGTCAACTAGGTCCAGTTGCTTAAGCTTCTTCATTATTTTAGCGCGTTGTTTATAGACTGTCGATAAGTGACCGTTGTAAAAGGCGTAAGAGTGTTGCTTCATCAGCATGACGATGCCATGAAGTACGAAAAATACAGTATGAGTCCATGGCCAGTCACGCCAGAGAGTCAGGCCAACAACGCCTGCCAGAAAGGCTGTTTGCCATATCTGAAAATATCCATGAGCTTAATCCATAAGTCTGACAAGACAGTTGCAACTTACATTCTGAATAACCCATCCAGTACCGTCCCAGTTAATGTAGTTGGCAGATACAAGCCGTTGAATCAACCAAGTCACTGCTGTGAGGGCACACATGATGCCATCTGAGAGCAGAAGGACGAAAACTTTGGTACAGTCAGTATCAGGAACCTATAAAGTGTTTAGGGTTGTATCATACC